TTTTGTTTTTGGCCATGCCGTGTGGCTTATGGGGATCTTAGTTCCCCAACCAGGGGTCCACCCAGGCCCCCAGCAGTGAAAGCCTGGAATCTTAACCACTGAATCGGCAGGGAATTCCCTCCCCCGTAAAGCTTTGCGCATTCTCTCTCGTGTATAAGGTCCAGGGATTGGGAGCTTGAGGCCAGCTCACCGACCTCATCACACACTGTCTGCACGGTCCTGCCTACCCCGCGGCCAGCAGGCGCTGCCCCTGCTCCCACTCCATGCCTCATCTTCAGGGCCAGAGGACCTGCCCTCCCCCGCCGCAGCACAGGTGGGAGAGGCCCCAGCCCAGCCCTCTCATTCCATGCCTGGCAAGAGCACCAGCAAATCCTCCAAACAAGGCCTGAATCCACCGCCCTCCTTGCCAAAGCCCACCACCTCTCCGCTGGCACCGCAACAGCCAGGAGGAACACACAGTGGGCCTTAAGAAGCACACCTCAGCTGCCACACCCCCACTTACAACTCTCTAGGAGTTTCCGCTGTGCCCAGAGCACAGTGCTACCCCCACTGCGCACGGGGCGGGCACAGCCACCCTTGGACCCGCCTTGTGCAGGGCAGCCCCTTAACTCCTGGTGGCATGTCCCAGGCCTGACGCTGGACCCTGCTGCTCCCCACTACCCTGACTCACCTTCCACCTTCATGATCTGGTACGTGTCCTGAACGACCTTGTATTTGGGCTCGTTCCGGAATGCATGCGCCCAGGCCTGAATCAGGTACAGGATCTTGTTTCGGACGTTTACTTCCACCTGCCTCTGTGGAGAAGGGAGGAAAGAAGATAAGAACCTTGGGAGAGGCAGGTGCCAAAGAGACATCTCAGCACGAAAAAGCAGCTGGCAAGACCCCAACACTCCGAGCAACTGGGGCTGGCAGAGGTGGGGTGGGTCCCCCAAGTGGGGCACCAGGGCCATGTAGTGACCCACTCCCCAGACCCAGGCCTACTTTAGGAAGCCCTGTCCCCAAGGACAAATCCATTGCACCTGTCTGCCCACTCAGGACCTGGACTTATCTTTAACCGCCTAGGTGAAGCTGCGCATCCCTCAGGTGGAGGCTCTCAAGCCCCTACTGCCCCATAACTACCTGTCTCTCCCCACCCCATCACCGTGCCCTACAGGACACTGACCGCCTAGCGAGCTCCTCAGCCTGTAACCCACTCTGTTGCCAGCTAAGGCCAGCCTCTGACAGGCAGAGCCAATCAGGCCTGGGCTGAGGAAGCAGATGCACGGTCGGCTGGCCCCCTCCCTCCAGTCACAGGCAGCGCAGACAGGCGGGGGAGTGGCTCCAGAAAGTTCCCCACATACAGAGCCACCGCCACCAACAAGCTAAAGCACAGACAATCACATTTCTAGAGCTCTCTCAGGATCCTATCCACACACTATGCTCACGATGGTGGGTCAAGAAAGCTGCTTCAAGACACCAAGCACAGCTCACGTCCCAGGGTTCCCACTCTGCCCTGTAATTGGGGTCCAGTCAGTGGGCCCCTTTCCAGGTAGCCCTGCCCCTGTGAGGACTCAGACCATGTACAGTGTGAACAGGACACGATCGTGCCAGAACAAGGAGGGCGGGTTCTAACTCCTCTGCTGTCACCCAGGCCAGAGCAGGGGCTGGCCAAGTCACCAGTCAGGGCTTTGGAGAAGCCCCGCCGTCAGCTCAGCCCCAGACGGGCTCCTGGCTGTGAGGCCCACAGGCGCCCAAAGGGCCCAGGCCACAGTGGCGGCGGAGTTGGTGCTGGGGCTTCACTCCCTGGTTGCCACCCAGGGCACCCGCACCCTCAGCTCCATGGGATGCCCCTCACCCACGGGGGGGTGGGGGGTGCGTAAAACCCACTGCCCTGGCGTCCCTGCTCTGCTGTTGCTGTTCCCCAACTCTCCCTCCACAAGCACTCATGTGCCTCCCTGCTCAGAATTCTACCCAAGCCTTTGGGGACCCCAGGCCTCCACTTACAACCTCTGCCCATGGCACACAGCTCCCTCCCCACCTTCTCCACTGCTCAGTGAGCATCCCCTGCCCTTCAAGACTCAGCTCCTGCCCCCCAGGAAGCCTTCCCAACTTTGTAGGAGGAGTGGGGTCTCCTCCACAGCCCCAGATGCAGCCCCGCTGACTTCTGGGAAGGCCTGACCTCACCAGGCAGGGACCACAAACACTCGCCTTCCAGCCCTCCAGCACCTGGCACTGTTCCCACCAGCAAAGCCCCAAGAAGCCCGTGTGGTGGTGCACCCCAGTCTGGGCCTCCCTGCTCCCCACAGAGTGCCCACCTTTAGCAGCTCCTTCAGCTCCTCCATGGTCTGCTTGTTCGCCACCTCATCATGAACCGTCTGGCCACAGTTCTTCACCACGGACTCCATGACCTGCAGGCCCCAAGGTGGGGTAGACTTAAGTCTCTGGTCAGGGCAGGAACTCCCCGTCCTGGACGGGCCCACCTCCCCACAAGAAGGCGGGCCTCAACAGGGCCCTCAGGCCACCCAGCCGGACAAGAAAGCCCGCGTTACAGCCTCTGAGGCAGGAAGCAGCCAGGGGTACACCTGCTTCTTCTAACTCTGTGTTTTATCACCAGGGACAGACACTGGAGTCAGCCTCAGAGCCCACACGTGTCAGCCTCAGGTGGAATAGCTGAGGCATTGCTCCCAGCCCTGCCCCACGGCCCCAGTGCCTCCACTTCTGGCGGTGCGCCCATCCCTGCTATCCCCACCAGTGCCACCTGGAGTACAGGGTCTGATTACCTCTAGGGCATACAAGGCCACGTGGGGATTCTTGTCATTGACTTTCTTCTTGATGGAGCTCACTGCATATTTTGCTCTGACAGAAAAAAGCATTGATAAAAGCAGAAAAAGAAAAAGAGAAAGAAAACAGCCTCTAAGACTGAGAAAAGCCCACCCACCATCTGGTCCCTGAGACACCTCCCAGGCAAATGTCCAGGTAACGGTGCCCTCCCAAGCTGTACAGAGAAAGTCCTTTAATCGTCCCAAGATCTCAAAAACCCCAGTACACAGACCACACAGTCCTCCACCAGGGCCTAACATGGTTGGCTTCCATCCGGGCAGGATCTTGGAAGATGAGCGGACACCAAGCAACCCTACTCCACGGGGTGGCCACCGCATTGCTTTTGAGGGAGCACTTACTGCGTGTCCCCCTGGCGGATCAGGTCACAGATCTGGAGGATGGACTCCCAGTCGGTCTCCAGAAGAAGTTGGCTGGTCGCTTTGTCTAAGACAGAAACTCACCATTACAGGGGCTCATCCTGCTCTGTGATTCCCCAGGTGGCCCCCCAGCTCAGCAACAGGCAGGAGGGACTGCCCCCTTCCCATTTTAGACATTGGACCAAACAGAAAACTACTGAAAATGCTCCTGACACCTGACAATAACCATGAAAGCACTGTCCTTCCTGAAAGACAGACAAACAGCTTGGAAAATAACAATGGAGAACGCTGTTGTGAGCTTTTTACATGCCAAGTGCTGTTCCAAACATTTTACATGAACTCACTCAACTCTCACACAACCTTAAGAGTTAGGGGATATTTCCACCTTCTCCGAAGACAGAGAAACTGAAACAGAAAGGTGAGGTCACTGCCTGAAGTCACACAGCTTGCTGGGGCAAACCCAGAATTCAACACTATGCTCAGCTGTTTCTCAGCAAAGAGAACTCTGCTGCCTCATCCCTCAGAGTCCCTGGTTTTTCAGAAGCTTAACCTATTTGATTAGCTCTCAGCTGAGGCATGGCTGGAGAGGCATGCAGCAGAGACCCCAGTGCTCTGTTTCAAGTGTTTTGTGGGGCGCAGACAGGATCGACCCGCCAAGGATTCTCCAACTACCACCTCTAGTCTATGTCGCTGTGGCCTCAGACAGACAGATGTGCTGCTCAGGGGTTGCTCTCCAGCCCAGCCAGTACCATCTTCCCTGGAGTTGTACAAATGGTCAACATGGATCTGGGAGTAACTTCTGGACTAACCACTGAAGGCCTGAACAACCCCATACGCCGAGCTCCTCGGGGCCTGTATGTTCAATGAGCAAGAAAGGCGCCTCATCTGAGGTCCCTCTGAAACCATATTCAAGGAACAAGGAGGGCAGGCTCGGGCTGACCATTCCAGTACCCAGAGCACCGATCCCAAACACAGAGCACACACGGTTTCATGGAGTGGTGGGGGCTGGCCCATAAATATCGATTTTCCTTCCTAAAATCTGTGACCTCCAGGAGGCTCAGAAGGATCAGCTATCCACCCCAGAAAACAGAGGAAACGCCTTCCTAGCCCTGGGCGCTTCCGGGAGCCCAGTGGGGACACAGGGCGCAGGTCTGGGTCCCTGGGGAAGCAGCGCTCCAAAGAGCTTGGCAGGACCTACAGAGGACATTGCTGGCTCCACCCTCTGGGGCCCATGTATGGGTCAGAACTCCCAAATCCCATGCAATCTAGGTTTTGGTAGGGAGAATCTACTGAGATTTTACTATTTCACTGAGTCACCCGTTTTCGTGACTCAGGACGTGAGGCCTGTTCGGCCAGACGCTGGTGGTCGTTTCCCCAAGGCTCCTGGCCCGTCTCCTACGCGGACCCTCATTTACTCGGCCGGCGCCGGGGCCGCGCCCCGGACCGCCGGCCCTGCATCGCCTGCGCGCCCGCCCAGGGCCCGGGTGGCGCGGCGGTCGCCCCGGAGCGCTGGGTCCCAGGGGCTCTCGCTCCGGGGGCGGGGGCCGCGTTACCTAGGAGACGCTCGAAGGTGCCGCTGCCGCGCCCCATGGCGACCCAGGAACCCGACCTGACGCCGTAGCTCTCCCCGCTGAGAGCCGGCGCGCCCCCGACTTCCGCTTCCGTCTGCCGCCTCGGGTGCGCGCACGCGCACGTCGCTGGCTTGCTCGCGAGCCGCGGGAAGGCGGGCCTTTCCGCTCGCCCTAGAGGCTGGGCGCAGATTGGACCGTGCCCACTAGACGGTAAGCGCTGGGAACCAATGAGCAGCCCGGGGGCGAGGCCTGGCGTCGCCAGGACGGCGAGCCACGGATGTGGAGTGGAGCGGGGAGCGGGATGTGTCTTCTGCTCGGGGCCACGGGTGTGGGGAAGACGCTGTTGGTGAAACGCTTGCAGACTATCCTTCCGCGCCGGGTGGGGGGGATGGGGCCTGGGGTGTAGGTCTGGGTCCGGGGCCTGGGGGGCGCTGGTGGCGAGCGGGGTTGGGGGCGCCCGGGCGGGGGGCGGGGCGCCCGGGGCGGGGTCCGGCCAGCGCTCCCTCCTCGGCCCCGCTCGGAGACCTTGACTACCTCGCACAGCTGAGCTCCCGGGATGGGAAGGGCGACCTGGGCGATCTTGCCCCCACGCGGCCCACGGTAGGCGTCCGGCCTCTTGCAGGTTTAGGAGAAGTGGGTCCCCTTGCGGTTAGAAGAGCGCTTTGGGTTCCTTTTTTTTTTGTAATATTTATTTATTTATTTGCTTGTAGCAGGCGGGCTCCTTAGTTGCGGCATGCATGTGGGACCTAGTTCCCTGACCAGGGATCGAACCCAGGCCTCCTGCATTGGGAGCCCGGAGTCTTCACCACTGTGCCCCCAGGGAAGTCCCTGGGTTCCTTTAAATGGAAGCGGGGGTCTGGCGGGTCAGTGTGTTCAGTACAGACTTGAGGTGGTGTCGCCGCGGGGAGCCTGGCTCCGCCTGGACAGAGTCCCAGGGCATCCGGAGCCCCCCGCCCCTCACTACTGGTCAGACTGCATTTGTTGCTCGCCGCACAGGGCGAATCCCGCTGGTGGGCGTTGGTGCCCTGGCCACAGCCAGCCTTGAGGGTTCTGGACGCCTTGGAGCATCTTCAGGCCTCCTCCCTTACGGGTTCCACCTTGGGGCCTAAACACTTGAGAAGACCTATGCTGGGGGTTAGGTTGCAGTGTAAAGGGCTGGGCACGTTGCTATCCAGGAGTTCCGTGTGGGAAAGCGCTTGTGGTGGTCTCTGTGCATCCTGGTTTTTTCCACAGGTGGGTACCAACCTAACGGACATCGTGGCTCAGAGAAGGATCACCATCCGGGAGCTGGGGGGGTGCATGGGCCCCATCTGGTCCAGTTACTATGGAAACTGTCATTCTCTCCTGGTAGGTCGTAGTCTTTTGAACTTCCTTTGGGGAGGTATGTCCCTATTCTAGCGTTGTCTAGTCCCCAGTTTCACTTTGTGTGGGATAGAGTTTGGTTTCATGGGCAACTGTGCGAGTCAGGGAAACAGGGTCCAGACTAGAGTTGCTTCCTTCTGGGACCCCAGCCTGATCCCTAGGGCTCCTGAGCCCAGGCTAATGTGAAAACTCACAGAAGGCTTGCTGAGGGCAGTGTTCCTTTTCTGCAGGTAACTGTGCCATCCACTCATTGCCTTATTGCCCTGAGTGTGTTTTTACATTTTATGTTTGAATTCTATATCCCCTGGTTTGTCCCATCCTGGCAAGGCCTGTGCCCCAAATTCTAGGACCCTTCCTTGGAAAAGTAATGGCCACACAAGTAGAGACTTCCGTGTAGGTGAAAACAAATAACACCGGTCCTTCTTGCACAGCTCGCTCCCCTCTGCTCCTCCCTTTCTGGAAGCCTTTCTTGCTCTTCCTGAGCCAGGCCCGTGATGCGAGGAGAGGAGGTGTGGCAGGGATGGTGTTCCATTGCAGGGGGGTCCTAATTTCCATTTACTTCTTTCCAGTTCATGGTGGACACCTCTAACCCTACCCAGCTCTCTGCATCCTGTGTGCAGCTCCTGGCTCTCCTTTCGGCAGAACAACTTGCAGAAGCGTCAGTTCTGATTCTCTTCAATAAAATGTACGTGTCCGTGAGCTGAGAGGAAACGCGGGGGTGCCCCAGGGCGGAGCTCCCGTGGAGTGTAGCCAGGAGGGTGGCTCGTTAGGGAGGGGGTGCAGCGATGGCAGCCCAGTCTGACAGGTATTGCTTTCACTCCAGTGACCTGCCCTGTTACATGACCATAGAAGAGATAAAGTCGTTAATCAGGCTCCCGGACCTCATTGCTTGTGCCAAGCAGAACATCACCACGGTAGAAATCAGTGCCTGGAAAGGCACTGGCTTGTCAGAAGTGCTGCGCTGGCTCGAGGACACCCACAGAATGAATGGTTGACTGCAGGGCCGAGAAGCGTGGCTGGCCCGCTCTGTGGCAAGAAGGCAGAAGCAAGCACTGCTTGGCCTCTGGCCATCTGCTGCTTTTATAAGGGCAGGATAAGCCCTAGAAGATGGGGTTCTGTGCTGAGTTGCAGTGATGGGTAAACTGAGGCACCCAGGTTATAGAATTCCTGACATCTGCCCTCTGGCTCCAGAGCTGGGAGAGGAGGACAGGCCTTCCAGGTGGCTTGTGTCCTACACCATCCTGGGATGGTTCTAGGGGATTTGTTCCCCTGCCCACCAGGAGAGCTGCTCTCTCAACTCTGACACAAGCTCCAACCTGTTGAGTTTCTGATACCTTGACAGTATAAGGAAGCTTGTGGGAAAACACCTATTGCTTGGTGCATTTGTGTCCTAGGGCTTCTGTAACAAATCGAGCAGCATAAACTTACGTTCACAGTGCTGGAAGCCAGAAGTGTGGAGGCTCTGAGCGAGAATCCATTCCCTGCTTCTAGTGGCTGCTCGTGCCGCTTGGTGTCGTTGGCTTGTGGCTCGCAGGACTTGAATCTCTGCCTCTGTCTTCACGTGGTCTTCTCTCCTCTTTTTATAAGGAGGATGTAGGGCCCACCCTAAATCCAAGGTGATTCCATCTCAAGATCCACAGTTACATGTGCAAAGATCCTTCTTCCAAAGGTCACCTTTGCATGTTCCGGGGGTTACAACTTGGACGTATCTTTTGGGGACACTATTAAACCTACTGCAGTCTGGTAAGAAACCCTCTGCTTCTGTGTGTGGTTGTGAGTTTCCTACAACAGCTTTCTCTGTCTCAGCTGGTGGTCTAGCTCATTGGGCCATCGGCCCAGGCCCTCAGCCTCCTCGCGGTTTCCAGTTGGTCACTCTGCGGGGGTGAGGGGAGCTCTGTTCTACAGAGGTTTTAAATGGCGCTCCGAGAAAGCTCTGTATGTCCTGCAGGGCAGTTCGGTGTCAAGTCTTCCTTTCCCTGTTGAAGCGATAGGCCTCCCAGTTCAGTGCTGCCGCTCCCTGGGAAGGTTCTCAATTGGCTCTTGGATGTACAGGGCCGGTGCCACCTTCTCAGGCAGACTACGTAGGTGCCAGTGGTCCCCCTCCATGGTGGGTCTGTGGAGATTTCACAGGACCCACAGTGACTGGCTGGCAGATGTCCCCTAATCTCAGGGCACTGAGGAGAGCGTGGCCAGACCTTGAAGTGTCAGCCATTCATGGGTCACATGCCTAGTTCATCTTTTGGCTTGATGCAGGTGTGTTTTAACAAAGCATTTTAGCATTTTCCAAATGAGGCTGGTACAGGTGGCACTGTTGAGGCCCTCCGAGGGCTTTTGGAAGGCCGGCATGGCCCCCATTGGTCTCATGGGGACCCAGGGCCCCAGCACCCCTGGGTCTCTCTAGGGCGGGAACAGTTCACACCAGCCTGCCTCGGCCACTCTGACCCCAGGGCCAGACATCCAGGCCCAGAGGGGACAGGCAGGGCTACATCCGTACTCCAGGAGATTGGCCTGAGGGTTCTGGGCTCCCGTTGCCCTGTGTCCTCGACCCGCTCCCGTTTCCCTAGGTGCTCTGAGAAGCGGCTCTCGGTTGGAGTAAATGTCCTCTGTGAAGAGATCCTGGAGCTGGGCAGGTGATCGTGAAGAGCCCTGAAAACAGTTTTCCCAAGACCTGCAGGACAGAGCAGCCGGTTTTGGGAGGTGGTGACTGGCTGGACGGCTCAGTCTGAGGCCATGGAACGGTGCTCTGCAGTGCCCATAACACCTGAACACGGGTGCAGCGGTGGTTTGGAGCCCTAGTGGGGACCGCTCTGTGACTGTGACCCTGGAGTGGGTGCTGGCCACCTGGAACCTGTCTTTTCCCTTCTGGGATGAAGTGAGGTTCTGAGCAGAGGCTGTCTGGGACCTGAGAATCTGGTGAGGGGCTGGGCACTCTCCCTGGAGAACATGCCACCTGCACATACTCCCCGTTCGCCCAGGTTACAGGGTGAGCTTCTGAACGCTGGGGTCCTGCTAGGCCCCCCAACACCACCCCGCAAGGTTGGCTATCAGAGGGGCCCATCCATCCTCAGTGTCCCCGTTCTCAGAATTGCCTACAGAGCTTGGCAGCATGGTGGCTGGACGGCCCCAGAGCTGCTGACGTGGCCTGGGTGCTGCTGGGGCCTCGCCACCTGCCCTGGTGGCTCCTGGACTTGGCCATGCTCTGGCTAGCCCCAGCCCTCCTTTCCTTCTGCCAAGCCTCCCACAGGGCCTCCTCTCCCCCCCTTCCGTGCCTTCCAATCCCCACAAGCCCCTGCTCAGTGTTTCCATCAGGTTGTCCCCCACCCCACTCTGGTCAGCTGCGGGTAGAGAGCTCCAGGTCAGCCAGGGCTTCAGTTTCCACCAGGCCTTGCTTCAAACTGCTTATGTGCCAGAAATGGCACGTAAATTCCACCTTCCATGTCCTCCACTGAGGGTGCTGGGGATTGTGCCAGAGAGCAGGAAAAAAACAAAACGGCTCAGGAAGAGGCACAGGTCGGGGGAGAGACGGACCTGGGATTTCCAGGTCCCTGCTACGAGCAAAGGCCACAAATTTCAGGAGAGACAGTTCTGAACGGCCCCATCCAGTGATGGAAATGCCCACTGGCACTTGGAAAAGCCATTGAGCCTGCATCTCCGGGTTTCCAAGTATGGACTCCAACCATGGAGTGAGTGACACCTGGGAATAATGTGCTGCTCAGATCTGCTGGGTTTTATTATCAAGAAAAAAGGGTGTTTCAACTAGGGAAGGAGACTGCCTTCCTCTGTGGCTCCTAAGCTGACATGCAGAACACGCCACCCTGAATGACAGTCTGATGTGCAAACCAGCAGGCCACCTGTTAGCGCACCTTATAAACTGGTGTGTCTGGTGGAGCGGACACACCTGCCCCTGCTGTTGGGCTCCTCTGCTGTTCTTGGTCTGGGCCTAGTGAGTGCCGGGATCTAAAAGAAGGAGCAGCAGAGCTAAGTGGCCCTAAGAGGGAGGAGCTCTGTTGCCACACACACACCCCCCCCCCGAAGCTGGGGCAAGTACTCCATCCAGCGGGAGGGAAAGCAGCAGCCGTGGTACTTGCCTGCACAGCCCACTGTGGACCCCCAAATTCCATGGGGATGCCACAGGGCCCTCTGAACTCAGTACTGACATCTCAAAAGTGCTGATGAAAAAAAAAAAAAGGGCTTCCCTGGTGGCGCAGTGGTTGAGAGTCCGCCTGCTGATGCAGGGGACGCAGGTTCGTGTCCCGGTCCGGGAAGATCCCACATGCCGCGGAGTGGCTGGGCCCGTGAGCCGTGGCCGCTGAGCCTGCGCGTCTGGAGCCTGTGCTCTGCAACAGGAGAGGCCACAATAGTGAGAGGCCCGCGTACCGAAAAGAAAAAAAAAAAAAGTGCTGATACCGCCACCTGGTGTCTGTGTTCCCAGACTAGCTTCGGGGGTGCAAGAGTCCCCCAGGTATCAGGCAGGAGCAAAGCAAAGACCGCCTCCTGCTGGCCCCAGGCCCAGAGCAGGCCTGGAGCACCAGTGCTATCACGTGCAAGTTTTGTATTTTGTATAAAGTATAAAACAATATGTTTAAGATAACTCACTTGCTCACCTGTTAAAAATGAGTAAAAGAAAATAGTTTTAAAATATCAGTAAAATTAGGGGAATTTCCTGGCGGTCCAGCGGTTAGGACTCTGTGCTTTCACTGCAGAGGGCCCAGGTTCAGTCCCTGGTCCGGGAAACTAAGATCCTACAAGACACGTGGCATGGCCAAAAAAAATAAATCAGTAAAATTAGATAATTTAATGAATTGTGAATTTCATTCACAAAGTGATAGCTTTTTAATATTTAGGAGTAAACTGTCAAGAAATGTAAAGGACACATACGAAGGAAACCACAAACTAGCAGCAAGGAACAGAACAGATTTATATACACAGTGGTTCATAACTGGGGCAGTTTGGGCAGTCTGTAAATATTTTGGATGGTACAGCTGCAGGGTAGGGACTGTGCTACAGCATCTATATGTATCTATAAATATAGAGAGAGGGAGAAAGAGAGAATGAAATTTATTTTAAGGAACTACCTCGGGACTTCCCTGATGGTGCAGTGGTTGGGAATCAGCCTGCCAATGCAGGGGACACAGGTTCGAGCCCTGGTCCAGGAAGATCCCACATTCTGCAGAGCAACTAAGCCCATGTGCCACAATTACTGAGTCTGTGCTCTAGAGCCTGTGAGCCACAACTACTGAAGCCCACACGCTCTAGAGCCCGGGCTCTGCAACAAGAGAAGCCACCACAATGAGAACCCCGTGCACTGCAACGAAGAGTAGCCCCTGCTTGATGCAACTAGAGAAGGGCTGCGCACAGCAATGAAGACCCAATGTAACCAAAAATAAATAAATAATAAGTTGAAAAAATTTTTAAAAATAAGAAAACATTTTAAAAAAGGAACTAGCTCATGTGATTTTGGAACCTGGCAAGTCCAAAATCTGCAGGATGAGCAGCGGGCTGGTGACCTGGGTTGGTGGTATATTTCCAGGCCATCTAGGGCAGATTCCTTCTTGCTTTGAGGGGGAGGTCAGTCTTTTCTGTCAAGCTCTTCAACTGATTGGATGAAGCCCACCCACCTGTATTACGGAGGGTAATCTGCCCTACTCATAAGGTCTACTGATGTAAATGTTAATCTCATCTAAAAAACACCTTCACAGAAACATCTAGAATAATGTCTGTCCCATGGTGGACATGAAAGTGAGTTCCTTGGTCTGAAGAAGTGATGGTCTCCTGTCCAAACTGGAGCAATATCTTCCGTTGTGATTCTTTCATAGTATTCTGAGCATTTGCATCTACCACCAGGGTAGCAAAGCACAGTCCAGGGTTGGCGCCTCTTCATGTCAGGACCCCCTGTAGCCCCAGGCTTCTGGCATCAGTCTGACTTGCCCCCTATGCTCAGGGCCTGCCCACCAGGGCACCTGCTGTGCAGCCATCTGTGGTCTCGGTGTCTCACGTTGGCAGACGGGACCGTTGTTACTGACATTTTGGGCCTCAGAGGGCGCAAGAGGACTACAGGCACCTCAGAGATACTGTGGGTTCCTGTCCAGACCACCGCAATAAAGCGAATATTGTAATAAAGCAAGCCACACAAATATTTTGGTTCACCAGTGCATACGTTTGAAATATTGTGAAAATTACCAAAATTTGACACAGAGACATGGAAGTGAGCAAGTGCTGTTGGAAAAATGGCAACCATAAACTTGCTTGACACAGGGTTATCACAAACCTTCAATCTGTAAAAAACACATTATCTATGAAGCATAATAAAACGAGGTCTGCCTGTATGTCTAGATTCAGCCCGTCTCTGCGTTGCTGCAGTGCCCCATGTCCACAGATTTCATGGACCCAGGTGGCTATCTCACGGGAGCATGTGGGGATAGCTTGTCAGTTCCAATCACCTTCCAAACCTGGAAAGGGGTTCTTCTGATGGACACTAATATGTCCTACTCCAATGTGCCCCTCAAATTCCCACAGTGATTTCCACAGGGCTGTGCCCCAAATGGGCATCCTTTAATAAGCCAGGTTTCCACTGCCCTCCTGCCTGACCATATAGCCAGGCCACTGGCCACTACCCATGAGTAATAACTCAAACATATGGGCTTTTACCACTGCTCAGTTCTTCCATCATTGTTAGAAAAACTGCATGCAATTCAGCCCAAACGAGCTGGTCCATTTTTACCTTTTTCAGTTAGTCTCCATTCTCTGGTCTTTATGTAGCAGCTTTCCAAACGAGATGTTGTCCATTCACTTTGGAACTGCCGTCCACAAACCAAACAGCTCTTTGTTGGTCAGTCGAGAGCTGGTGATAGGGCACTGTCCAAGTGAAGGTAGAATCCAGCACTTCCTCATGCAGTTCCAGAGTCAGTGCTGGGGGCAAAAGAGGCTTCCTGCCTCCTACACCTCCTTGCTTTCCCCAGGCACCTTGGTCTGGTATAAACCATATACCACTTTCATATTTATATGGAACCCTTCTGGGGACTGCCATCCCCATTAAAGTGTTTCTCTGACATCATCCTAGACATCATAGCTTTGTCAGAGCTTTAAGATCATCTTATGTCCTTCAGTCACTGGGGTAGCTTCAGTTAATGTCAGATGGCAAGGTGGTAAACCTTGAGGGTGGTAAACCCCCCTCAAGTGGAAGTTCTCCTGTCCAAAGTCCCAGCAGCCATCGCTGGGGGGTGCTCACAGGCTCTCACCCTCCACACAGGGCCACCACACAGAGAATCTGTCCCTGACTAGCACCCCAGCTTCTACTCCCACACTGTGTGGGCTCAGCCAACCTTACCGGTTCCCATTTAGCATGTCCTGAAAGGCAGTTACATGCCTTCTGTTTTATAAGACTAGGTGGGGGGAATGTCCCCCAGACAGGTATAATGTCCGTCCCCATAATACAATCAGGTAAAACAGATGCAACCACTTCACACAATGCCTGTTCAAACATGCCAATTCTACACACCTTTCCCTTACTTCCATCAACTCTTACATTCCTAACTGTGGCCTCCGGTGTTTCAGTTTTACAACACTGGGTAGGGGAAGTGTCCCCAGCCATCCCTGTAAAATCCCTGTAAATTCAGGTTGGGGGAGACAACTTCTGTACATAATACTTGCCTAAACATTCCAACTCTCATAACCCCACCAACCGTGACACTGTCACATCCTCTCAGCCTGACTGCATCCAAGTCAGGGCTTCACCCAGGCTTTTGGTACCACAGTCTTTGGGCTCCTGGGTCAAGGAGTCCTGGAGACTTCTCTTCTCCACCCCCTATTTTACCCACTCCTGTGCAGAAGTCCCCAGCAAGGGGTTGAGCCAAGAGACCCAGGCCTTCAATCTTTATCTTAGTTAACTGACCTAACTGTTGACCCAAGTGATTGCTGGTTGGGATTCTCAGTGTAATCTCTGCCTTCCGGCTGTTAAATGTCTCCAAACTGGGGTAAACAGAGCAGACTTGTTTGGGGCCCTTTAATGTTGGGGCTCAACAGAGGGTCCCTTTGGTCTGCCCAACCTAGGTAGCACTGTATTAAAACCTTTGTTTTAACCCCATCAGTGTCTGTTTTATTCATCCCATTTCTTTTTTTTTTTTGGCCACACCACGAGGCTTGCAAGATCTTAGTTCCCTGATCAGGGATCAAACCCGTGCCCTCTGCAGTGGCAGCTCAGAGTCCTAACCACTGGACCACCACGGAATTCCCCATCCCCCTTTTTTTTTTTTTTTTTTTTTTTGCGGTACGCGGGCCTCTCACT